CACACGCACACACACACACACACACACACTCACAGACAGACAGACACACACACACGCACACACACACACACACACACATACACACAGACAGACAGACACAGACACAGACAGACAGACACACACACACACACATGCACACTCACGCAACATCCATTCACTCACAGACAATACATAACGTACACACTGTCACACACACATACATAAACACGTACAAACTCATAGACACACACGCACACAGACACACATGCACAGACACACACACACACACACACACACACACATACACACACACACACATATGCACACTCACGCAACATTCATTCACTCATAGGCAATACATAACGTACACACTGTCACACACACACACACACACACACACACACACACACACACACACACACACACCACAAGGATAACCACCAGACGAAGTCGTCTAACAGATTATTACGTTTAAACGTCGCATGAAAGAGTGATAGATTTTTTTCTGTTGAACCATGTTTTTGCCATGGCTTTTAATCACGCAAATCTATCATATTCGTTGATTTAATTTTGTTATTAAACAGTTGATTTCTATGGCTAATGTAAATATGTTACAGTTTATGTAAGGGATATGTAAATCTGTTCGTTTATATATTTGAGAATTCACGCCGAATGTGGCTGAATTTTCTATTTTTTCTGTGGTACAGTGAGTGCTTGACAGTGGTATGCAAATACGTATGCGTAACTAACGAACTGCACAAAATGGGTCAATTGTATGATAAATTAATAAATACTCCCTCAGTGTGTAGGAAATAATTTATGCGCATGCTTATGTACCGACAAATTAGGGCGGTAAGCCAAAGCATGGGTAATGTCTAGACCGGGCATTTTTAATTTGCAGAACACTGTTTAAAAAATGTGTAATTTGTTGCTATGTGAATGCTGACACCTCTATGTTAATACTTTCCGCAAGCCAGACTTTGCGCTGCTGGAAACTGATTAGCAGCTTGAACATTTCGATTGTTAGAAGAACTTAATGAAGGGGAAAAAACTAATATATGTTAAGAATTATGTCAATGTGAAATAGAGTTCTCTCCGCCACGCCCGATTATTTCATTTTCGGTATACATTTGGTGGAGATCTTCCTTCCTAAAGAAAAATTGGGTTAAAATTGTCTTTTGTGAATGGCGTCAAGGCTATTTCCTTGTAGGCGATGAAGGGGTGTTAGGTGTCTCGAAAAATATTAGGTTGCGACTTATCACTAAATTATGTAGATATTCCCTCAGAATAGGCAATCCTATCTGACTGGCCTGCTTGGTATTATTAAGCTTGGATTGTACGATCCTGCTAACCAGCAAGTTAGCTCAGTCTTGCTTGATATGGAACTTTAATTAGAGATCTCTGCGCTTAAGTAAGTATAAAACCATCTTCAAAAAACATTTAACCTATGCCAACACACGTACGTTACCAAACTTTACTAGTAGCACATTGAGTAGGTTCTGCGCAAATTATATGTCTCATGGTTCCGCAAATTAAAAACTCCCATTTGCCATATTCTATGTCGTGTGTCCTTGTTGACATGAAAAGATGTCTCCAATTTTCTGGTTGAGATCGTTTTCCATTGCTTTATCATTGTTACATATTGATGTCCATTTTCAAGATTCACTATGGTTATAACTGATATTCACGATGGCTGCTTGCGAAAAGAGTGTCGAAAAATAAATCATGACAGCTTTTGTGTCTACGTAGAGAGTAGTGAGCGGTTATTTCTTTGTCCTCTGTTCGTATATTCGTCGTCCTTGTGGCGAGAGTGATTTGTTTGTAAGCGGTCGACAATCAATAATTTTTGTCTTCTCTGGGAACGTCCCAATTGAAATTTCGGCTTTAGGTCATTCATTGTTACTTCCATTATTTCCTTTTCTTTTTCTGTTTTCCTAATGTCGTTATATTAGTCTGTTCAGAGGATTTTGACTGGCAGCAGCCCCACAATTGGTGTCCGAAATATGAAGTGAAATGTTTAGTACATACTACACATAAATCCTTTCTTCAGAGGGCGTAGTAGGGGTTGAAAGCGGTGAACAAAAGTGCATACTACATTCAGACTATCTATATCAAAGTCTTTTTTTGGTGGGGGTGG